TTTTTTTTTTTTTTTTTTTTTTTTTTTAAATGTTCCAACATTTTACAGAATCTGATTTGTAAATGAATAAAAAAGGATTTTGAAATATGTGACTGAATTCTTACCTGGAGCTAAGGAAGACATTGGCTAAATGGAAAAAGCGTGCTCTGTACTTCACATGAAAAACAGAAGGCTCAAGTAGATTATACAACTTCTTGTAGAAATCAGGATAATCTCTGCAAACACACAACACATGGTTTTGATTTATGTGATCAAATGTCTCCCATTTTACTGTAAATAATCTGATCTAGTAAAAGAAACAAAAAATGTGCTTTTCACTCACAGGTTGTGTTGATGTATGAGGACAAAAAGGCCATTGAGTGCTAGCAGGCTGATTGCCCCACCTGTTCGATGAAGACAAGAACCTGCTGATTACCATCACTTTGTAGCAAAGCTGAAGATGAACATATGAAAGTGTTGTTTTTCCACATTTCAAATTCTGAAATAGTATTTTTGAACATCTGATGGTACTTTTGTGCTCAAAATTCTAACAAGATTCTCAACACCAAACCATGACAGAGCCTCCACCGTGCTTTACAGATGTAGACACTCACCTCATCCATACGCATTGACAATTATTTGAAAAAAAACTTGTATTCATTACTTCATAAAATTTGTTGACATTGACGTTCAGTCCAGTTCTTGTGTAATTTAGCATACTTCAGCCTTTTCTCCTCGTTTTGCTTCCTTACAAACGGCTTCCTGAAAGTCCTCGTATGTCACTGAGACTCTTGGGTTCTGTGTCAAGTCTTTGTTGCATCCTCTCTTTTTTCCTATTTCTTAAGGACATGATTTTCAGATGCTGTTCATTTGCCATGGATAGGTGTTTAAGCCTGCCATGTCTTGTTTTGTCCTCCATTTGTCCAGTTTCCTTTAATATTTTTTAAGAACACACTGCATGCCATGCTGAGATATGCCATATTTTCAGCTAAAAGCATTTTGATGGAATTTTTCTAAGATTCAGCT